AAATAACTTCATTTATTTTTAATGTTTCGTTTAAACGTACTAACTAAATTCTTGGTTTTTTTTTTTGGGGGGGGGGGGGTAAGTTATTAGAGTGTTTTTTTTCTGCGTAGAATTAATTAGGTTTAAGGGAAATGTGTTGCAGGTACAACATTTACTAACAATATAAGGTTAGATAATTTTCAAATGATGGGTGCTAATAAGAAATAGCTGACAATGGCCCTTGATAAGATACAGGTATGGTTAGGCTAGGTTCAGGTTAGAAGGAAGGAGACAACTTTTAGACGGGTCAGGGAAGAGACCAAAGAATGGGATAGTAAGACAGAGGAAAAGGTCTGGGAGGGGACGGAGAAGACACATCTATGACAGTAATAATTATTAAGGTTTTTATTTTACATATTTAAACACAAATTCACATAATATTAGTTTTCATCCCATTATTCGGTTGACACCAAGACGTTAATAATTATTTTCTTCTAAAAATAATAATTACAATTTTGTTGATATTATCTTTTCCTAAAAACTTTTTCGATTACAACGTTTTAAATTATTATAACGCCTTTTATTTTTTTTTTCTTAGCTTTTTTTTGGGGGGGAGGAGGTAATATTGTTATAGAACTCTATTAACTTTTAAAATTAACCCGGTAAACCGTATATTGTATTTACTCGAGAGCGGTCGAAGCCGTTTGAAAAAGAATTATTGGCAAACGGATTTAACTTAGGAACTTGTAAGCGTTTGGAATTATTTTCTATTTCTAAAAGCCTTCTATCGGTTGTTAATGCGCTCTGACACCTTTAGGAAGTTAATGTAATTCTCAACAAGTTTCCTAGCACAAGGTTCGAATTGACCAAGTTCAATGATGGCAGATAATAATATTATTACTTTGGTGCGGGCCTGTTTGCTATAAATCACAGAACTAGACAGAATCGTTGTCTGACTTTAACGCCTCGAAGGAAGCCTATTCGAGAACTGGGATTAGAGATAAACAAACAATGCATAGATATTAGATAATATATTCAGAGCTCCAGACTCCTCGATATGTGAACATTTGTATACCTTAACAAAATATTTTAATACACACCGTGATTCATCAATAGGATAAGACACTTGTTTACTTTTAAAATAGTGACAATCTTGTAGTTATTCTTTTTGGTCATACTTTAGTTTTGTATACATTTACCTATCAGAACCATTGTATTTACTTAAGTACTGAGTAGTAAGCAAACTGTGTCGACATGCATTTTTCGTGTGTGTGTAAGGCACTTCGTCAATTTGATTGTAATAAAAATACAATTAATTTATTCAAAAATGTTAAATCTTTATAACTTTAGGCGTCGCATATAATATATACAGTAGCTATATTTTAACAACTGAGTAAATGAACATTAAGTGAGTGTAAAGCTCTGTAAACATTAAGGGGATTAAAAGCAAAAATTGTTTACATCAAACATTAAAACCACAAAGCTTCTACAGATTATTCTGGAAATATACTGACATAGACGAAAGTTATTAAACAATTTATTTCTTAGGAATTAGCTTCGTAGAACTCCTTAAAGTCTACCAACAATCAATACAGTAAGCGTTAAAATGTATTTGATATAGACTAAAGAAATTGTGTTAAGGAAAACCAAAAAAATAAAATAAAACTAAAAACCTATCGTGACGACAAACACAATAAATTGTATTATTAATTAAAAAATAATATTTCTTAATAATAATTTGTCACCACTATTAGCCATGCGCCGTATTTAATAATATAATGAAAATATTTACACCAAACTTCTTGATAGTTCACTTGAGAAATTTACTACTGTCGAATTGTAATCCTCCCTCATTTTTTTTTTTTTTAACAAGTATTTGTTGACTGATTTTTAAGAAATATTTAAACAGTTAACCCCATTCTAGATCTACCACCTGTGTAATTTCCAGACCTGAAGGGTTGAATGTACACTTATGAGGGTATCGGATTTTTTTTTGAAGCTTTAATCGTGTCATTGATTTGACTGAATAACCTTGAACTTCAGAATTGTATTGTAAACGCCCAGTCTGTGTAAAGGACAGCGAAAATTCCGGGAAAAATCCATTCGAACTCTTCAAACGTGCCAAAAAGACTTTTGGGTGTTTTCCAATTTTAATGTTTACATTACATAAATGTTTAATCACCGGTTTAACGCGTTTTCCGGGTAAAGGGACTTTACAGGTGAGTCCTTTTTTCCATTGGAGACTTTAAATACTTTTTTCGATGTCCGCTAAGGAAATTTATAATTTAATTGTGCACTACATATGACTTCAGGGCACATTATACAAACGTTAATATTTTTCGGCCGTTTTATCGTTTCGTTAATAGAACAATTATTTGTTATTATCAATGCATAAAATAAAATTATAACCACAAAAAAGTAAAAATAGGTACTGCTTTTTAACAGTAAATTCTAAAAGCTCATAGTGCTTAGCACGGTATACATTTGTTAAAACAAATCATCGGGCTGAATACAAAAAATGTCATGTCGCCAATTTCGCGTTGTATTTTCACTTTCAGTTAGAGATATGAGATTAGGGATAAGAGATTGGAGATAAGTGATTCAGTTATTATAGATGAGTTGTTAAAGAGTTCAGCGAGAAGAGATAAACAACATGAGATAAGAGTTAAGCGATAATAGATTAGGATAAGTGATAAGAGATAAAAATAAAGATAATGGCTTAGATATAAGAGATTAGAGATTAAATAGATAGTGTATTAGAGATACTAGATTAGATATTATAGATGAGAGATAAGATATTTGAAATAACAGATTAGAGACAATCATATCATAATTATAAGAGACACGAGATAAGTGATTATAGATAAGAAAGTACCAAAAAGGTCTTACGCTTGAGCACAAAGACATACCTATACATGGGCCTATGTATCTGCTTGTAGTGTGGATATTCGTTGGTTTTTTTTCTCTATTAATTATGGTTTGATTGTTTAGAAATAATAATATAATTTATTTTTATTCTCAAAATATAGGTATTATAAGAACGGGCGTCAGAGGTTCCTCCCTGAAGTACTTAAGCCACTTAAACCCGGACAGTACAAATAGCGCATTAGTTATTGTCGTCGGTTGGGTATGGTATTACTTATTCAGACTTGTTTTCTTTCGGTGTGACGACTACACGCGAATACGGCGACGGGCTTGGGGCGGTGACTGCGGCCGTTAAAGGTGTTCGGAAACAGCGTGTTTTGTGTGACGAACACGCACACTGACGTGCCCGTCTACGTTTACCTATTGTAATTATTATTATTACTGTAGTTATTGTATTTTGTAAATTAATGTACCTATAAACGTACACGGGTTGTATAGAAAAACGGTTTCGCCGGCACCTAACGTACCCCGTGGAAACTTGGGTGATTTATCAATATTTTTACAGCGTGGATTCAACGAAAATCATATATCTGTAACCTTTTTTTTTGTAAGCACCGACCGCAAAACTATCAACCTGACCCGATTTAATGTATTTAATATTGAACAGACGGTTTGTTTATATTTTATTCGTATGATATACCCTACAAACGAAGCATAACAAAAAATATTGATGGGGAAATTACAACCTTGCAGCGAAAAAAACTCCAATGCACTAAAACCTAATTGTTGAGGACACACTAAATCGTGTAAAACGATTTATAGTAGGTAACACATGGAAGGTTTTATTTTTTATTTATTCTACGATGGAGATAGCACGTTGGAGATTTTATCATTTGATAGCTTATTTTTTTTTTCTGTAATTATTTGTTAATTTCCATTTATTAGCTTGTAAATAAACATAAAGAAATGGTTTTATGGTGTTACTTAAGTACTTTAACAATTGTAGTGACAGATGTTTGTATATTTTTATCTATTGCACGACAAGACACAAAGAGAATTACTTAATAATATTTAATTGAAGTGGCGAATAAAAAAATGATTTAAGACCACTAACAACCTAGTTGTAACGAATACTTATAATATTTATAATTATTATTGTAATACAGAAAATGTCGATGATAAAAGAAAATTAACTTTTTGGTTCAAACTGCTGGTAACATTTTACATGAAGTGTACCAATGATAATTTTTTTTTAATACTTCTTCCTCAACCTTAACCCTTGATGTTAGTTCAGAATATTTTCAGATAGGTTATGATATTATCACGTTGCTGGCCGGCAGTTCATTTCCACCAATTATCATCTAGTTTGCAACTAACGTGCATTCAAGATTTAATCTCGGCACATTTCCGGAATCCTCTCACGATTACTTAGAAAGGAAATCAAACACACACATATACAGATATATATATATATATACATATATATCTGTAGATGTAATATAAAGTAAGCGCTTAAGAAATATCACTAATAACGCGTGTGTGTTTTTATTTTCTAAGACATGTATTTCCAAGAAGTTTTAGAAGCATTTAAAATGTAACGCTCAAACCGTTAAAGGTAGGAATGTTTACTTAAGTCAATGCGACATGTGGCAATGTTACTTGAGTTATATTAATGCGTGAGATTAATATAAACTTTTGAAACTTAAACGACAACGTGTAGATATATTATGCGCATAATTGACTTTTTAAATCGAAAATTATTTGCAGAACATTTTGATGATCTATTCAAAACTGGTTGACGACTTGTCAACATTTTTAGTATTACATAAAAATTATCAAAGAAATATATAAGTTACCGTTTAAGCTTCAAAAGTTCATAGAGCTTTAAATTTTTTAAAAAAAAATATGAACATTTTAGTATAACCTAACCTTCCAAACTACTAAACGGTTAAGTATAAACTATTAACTCCTGATGTTATTTTATGTAATTTTATCTCTGACCCAACGTGTCCATTTAATCAAAGCCACCTACTGCAGTAACCTCTATTGCTTTGACTGAGACGTCTTGAGCGCTTTCGCCCTAACATTGTCTCCTTACATAATAACTAGTGATATTGGTCCGGGGTTTATGTAAGCGGTTTATTAAGCGTTCTTACCTGTAAATGGCCGTCTTTTCATTTTTGTACCAAACCACCAATATGACCGTGTCCAATGGATCGTGAGGTATGGGTGGAGTGATGTCACAGGGCAAAGATGCAGTGCCGTGGACCACAGCGAAAACCGGACGTACGGGACCTGTAAAATAAAAAATAACCTTGAAATACATTTTTTTAATTCAGTTGATCCACATATTGTATTGTAACAACTAAATTTACATGATATCATTTACCTAGGTACTGCGATTGGAATATTTCGACATCTACAATAGTGTATTGATATTTTTAGTTCACTCAAATGTAGTACAATCGTTTTACCATTTTTTATTTCACTAAATAGCTACGCTGTCGAATTTTTAGACCTTAAGTCCGAAAACTACACTGTAAAAATTGAAGTAAAGAAATAGTTTTGAACGCCTCTTGGGAAAAGCAACAATGATGTTTTTTGTTTGGTTAATCTACAACATCCAGACCTGTGATCTTCTATCCAACCCGATATTATGTCTCGACCTCGCTGTGCAGTGTTTTTTTGCCGTTCAGCTTTAGCTGAAAACAGTCGAGTAATATTCTAAAAATAAACACCGTACCCCGGACCAGTGTTTATCCGCTTACGGGCACGAGACGGGTATCAAATCGGGTCCGGGTGTCTGTTAAACGGTAGTAGGGGCGGTTATGGAGACGGAGGTTCTCGTTTGTTGACACACCAGACATCCCGAGGGTAACTTATGTCGGCAAGAGAAGACCAATATGGCTTATGTGTGGTGTAAATGCAGACCCTTCTCCGTTTTTATTTTTACATTGTAACATGTCACGGATACACATTTTGTTTCCCCCCGACAAACGTTTGTACACGGTCGTTTCTACTTATGGGGTTTTTTATTTTCGTTGCCAAAACCGAGACAGTTGTGAAAATAATTTTACATACAATCAAAAAGAAAAATGTCTGTAAATATTATCTCCCAAACGTAGTGTTTAACCGTTCTTCGCCGTCGTCACATCTCAAGTCATAATACTTTTATTTTGTATATTAGATTATCTGTAATTCGACAATAGAGTAAATGGAAAATTCTTAAAAACACATAAACAAACTCTCTTCAAAAAGAAAAGCTACAGAATTGCAATTGTTTTATGAAAAAAGAACCCTATTATCTTATTTTTGATAAATCACACTGTATAGTTAATATTTCGGTTTTTTTTTTTAAATTAAAACAGTTGTTTCGTTTATAATAACTAGCATGGCATATGATTGGCACAGTCGATTGTTTGATTAAAAAAACCCTTAAACGCATTATGCTACGCAGCTTTAATATTATTACCTATTTACAATGCAAACGATTTCAAAATAAATTAAATTAACCAATACAAAAACAATGTGGTTTTATTGTACTTGCATAAAAACGGCGGTTTTTTTTTTAAATTTAAATATAACGCATAAAACCCTATTGAAAACGTCGTCTTCCGGTCTTTTAGAAAAAAAAATAATTGCACAAAGAATTCCGAACGACTTACCGGGACTGTATAAATATACTCAATATCATACAAAATCCAACTCAAACGGGTATGCCAGCCATCATTATAGAACACAACGAAATCTGGAACTCGTTTATCAAACGCACTGTCGGTTGTTGGTAATTTTAATATAATTCCCATTGACACTAACTTATCCCGCTTATTTATTCCTTTATCTCGTCGCGTTTGAAAATAGACGTAGTAGTGGGGAATCCCCCGACCCCTCTCCGACCACTGTAACTAAGAAAATATTCAACCAATCTATATGTATATTTGCGCGTACTCTTCTATACAACTTTCCCAATCTACTGATATCTCATATGATCAATTCTGTTCAGCCATTCACTCACAAAAGGTGGCAAAATGTATGGTAATTAAATGTAACTTTGTTTTATTAAGCAATGAAAAAATTGTAGGGGGGAATCCGACTATATTATGACAATATAGTACAACTTTAAAGGTCTGTAACAACTATATAAGATAAACTTCTGAAACTCTTCAATGCACTTTTACACGCCACTGTGGTTCAAATAAGACCAAATAAATAACAAAGTTCGTCCATGGGTTCCAGAGATCTGCGTGGCTAAAGAAAAATTCAGTTAAAATTGTAAACAAAAATAATAATTAACCTCGAGCTCATTCTAACGATCTTAGAATTGACTCTCCATCTCTTATAGTTTAAGAGAAAATGATGTATGTGATCGGTATGAAACCCAATCTACCTCTATATTATCTTATATTAAAGATAACAGGGGATAACATAGGGGATGTGTGTGTGTAGGGGGGGTGAGGGTAGGTTATATTTTTGAAAAATGTATCGAAACCCAGTGGTCTGTCATCTATGAAAATACAAAATAGAATACTTTTCAAAAGTCTAATGTCTCCAAGACGCTGACTGGGTCATGGTTGACATCTCGCTTTCAGGGAACTGGCGACGATTTAGTCACTCGCCACGTTGGTGATTCGTACCGACACCGTGTCGACAAATATACATAATATTACATACTATATTATGATTGTTTACCGGAAACATTATTTTATGCGAAAGTGAAAAAAGGGGGACACACAGGGGAGGGTAAGGGCAAGTGTGGAGTGGCTCAGCCGGTATTATATCGAACGTACGCGCATAAATATTAATTAGCTCACGACCATAATATCGTCGGCAGTTTTTATTTTTTTTTGCTGTTTTTTTAATATTCAAACGTTATAACGACTCCGCTCCCCCCCCCCGCCTTCACCTTCGACCCGGAACCGGGGTATCGTAGAAGAGGGGAAGTGACGACCGGCGAAATCGGGGTGGCGGGGGGTGTTGGGAGAGAAAACCGTATAGGTGTCGGCCAGTACATAATTCACAATGTACCTTGACAAGTCCTCTGCGAACCGACCCCTTTGGAGGGGTGACGAGGGGTACCAGGTGCCTCTCCCTCCCCTCCGGGGCACTTTGGCGCGGCCACCGCAAGCCTCTCTCTAACCGAGCCGGTCCTAAGCCGTCTGCGTGGAAATTTAAATCGCGCATAATTGAATTCCCGTGTAAAACACCATGTCGGTCGGCGGGGGGTGCGGGGGTTGAATTTCGTATGGGCACACGCCTTCCGCCCCTAGCCCGTTTGTTTTACACCCCCCATCCCTCCTACTCCATACGCGTTATATTTTTGTTTCCCTTTGTTTTTTTTTTTTCATGAAAAAAATGTATTAACCCGGTCTAAACCACCATTTTCCGGTGTATTATAATATGTCTTTTGGGCGGTGTCGCCTGAAACTTTTCCTCTGCCGTTCCAATTAACATGTTCATCGCTGGGGGTCATTCTAAAAATTTGTCCGAAACGTAACGCAGGGTGTCACACTCGGCGGCAGGGGAGGAAGGATGGGGGATATTAGAGATAATAGATTAACTAAAAGAGATTAGAGATAAAAATAGGGATAATGGATTAGAAATAATAGATTAGGGAAAAGAAATAAAAAATAGAGATAGCGGCTTAGACATAAGAGATTAGACGTACAAATTAAGATAATGTATTAGCGATAAGATATTAGGGATACTAGATTAAAGATAAGAAAAGTACCGAAAAGTTCCAGGGTCCTATACTTGAATATAAAGACATATGCATGTGCCTATGTATCCGCTTGTAGTGTGGATACTCGTTAGTTTTCGTTTAAACAAATTAACAAAAAATGGCGAACCGATTAATTTACATAACGAGGTACTGATATATATATATACATAACAATATTTTTTAATTCACTCCAAAGTAGTTATCGTTGACGATATGCGTGCACTTATCAAGGCCTCTACCGGTCTTCTAAATCCTCCGACCATAGGCCACGGACATGAGAAACTGACCTTGGCTAGCTCAGTCGGTAGAGCACCAGATTCTTAACATCGGGGTGGTACTGTAAATAAAATTTCTTAACATCTTTTACCTGACTACTAAGGTGCCTTTAATAAGTGAGTGTGAAAAAGGGGCAGAGCTCTAGTCGCCTCTTCCGGATTGATTCAGACTCGGGTGCTTTCTATCCAACGCCAGATCTCGGATTATAAATAGTAATGCCCCAGGACAATTATATTGCCTAGCATTTAACTATAATAAACAGGTTAATAGCCTGAACGCAATTACTAATACTAACAAGAACCCAGAGCCGTACTTTGGCTTCTTCAGGATATGCGGCCTTTATTACAGTACACTTATGGTTTGTTTAAAGACACTTAGTTTTTATTGCCTTTAGGAAATGAGAGAAAAGGTAACACTTTATTTTGTTGTTGGCTGTTTGGCCTACATTTTATCGCTTATTTTCTAATATACATTTATCTTAAGGAACTATACTAGAGTATTAGTTGTCTAATATTATAAACTAGGATTCTACAATGACAGTCAAACGCAATACCGATTGCAATAATTTTTTAGGCGGTCGAAAGTAACACAATTCAAAGTACAGCTTTAAACTGTTTATCGGCTCGATCGTGCAACAGATATTAATATACAGGTTGTGATTATGTAAAAAAATAGGTAATAGGCGAGCTTGTATCTATGACACAAATCACAATTTTATGACTATGTTTGCGCAGTAATAGATAATGTGTTTAATCTAATGGCAAATTATGTTGAATAACGTTTCTGGCTTCCTTCGATTAGTTCACATGTGAAATTTTCGCCAACCTTAATTACTGTACCACTCTTGGGACACACCCAAATTTAAATAACGCACTAAATCCCTAATGACTAAACCTCACACCTCGCCTCTGCCAAAAGTAAAAGGTTTAATTTATATTATTTAAATTTAAGAGCTCTTTTCTGTGCAATGTGTTATAGGTTTTCCCTAAAATGTAAATATAACTCTTTTGTGTAAAAAAAAAACAATTTTTATCATTTGTAGTCCACTCTAGGATACTCTTGGAGGGATTTTAACATGGGTAATATTATGTTTTTGGGTAGGGGTCGTTCCAAATTTTGCGTGGATATTTCGTATAACGATTTCGCGTCATAGCCTGATAACAGATGCTGAGAAGAGTAACTGATGGGGTATTATGGTTAAGAAAATAATGATAAGAGGCAGGCGAGGACGGCTCCTGAAAAGGCATAGATGGTAAGAAAACGATCATAAAAGTTTAGTGATAAAAATCAGCATGTTACG